TTCCTGCTCCTCTGATGCTGCTTGGCCTGCTGTGTTCATCCAGCTCTGCACCTTGTTATCTCAGATTGTCCAGCATCTGCAGTTCCTACTATCTCTGAGGCCATCTATGCTGACAGCTTTTCCCAAACGAGAAACAACGGGAGAACCTCGTTGATTGAGGAGGCATCCATTGGTCTGGAAAACCGTTTCACTGGATGGTGCACCTGAACGTTGCTTTCCTTGTCCTGTATCCTCGATTTGGAATGAATCAAGAATGCTGTTTGAAAGTGGGCAGCTTTCTTTCCCGCAAATCTTTTTGGGAAAAAAAACAAATCCAGAACACACAGGAAAGTTCGAAACCATTGTTGAGGTATATTTCCAAGATATTCCTCATTCTATTCCAGCCACTGTGCGTATCAGGGAAGTGGGACAGAGCCCACCATCTCATTTTGCCATTCCCAGATGGGTTGGTCAGGGTTGTGCAGATAATTCCATCAGTGTATGGATAGATCAGAGGGGTGTCAACTCTATGGAAAGCTGCTAATGCAGCTATGCAGATTCCTGTATTATCGGCTGTGCTATTTTCCCTGTATTTTTGTTGACAATATCAAAAAAGGCGACATTAGCTCTGCACTGTTAGTGAGGCTATTTCTGTTTGGTGGTTTTCATTACATAGCGCATTCTTTAAATTGTAAAACTGAAGAGGATGGTCCATGTAGCCCATTCTCATTGAGATTCTGTCTTTGGTTCTTACAGATCTAAAGGGATCAGTTGAAGATGTCTGACACTGAAGAAGTGTAAGTGTTTATTTGAAGTTATATTAACTAAAACTTAGCTTATCCAGTGTTTGGGATGACCCTGTCTCATCTCCAGCTCAGTTTCGATACCAATTTAGTGCTATTTTTTAAACTGCAGACCAGAAACGTGTCTTAGTAACTCCTTTTAGTTCTTAAATACTTTAATACTATGTCAGTGTGAGTCTGCACCGTCCATTTTACCGGTGAGTAACCTATTGTTTTATCTTCTCTTTCAGGTACGAAGGTAAGTCCATCTTGTGACTTGCCGGCACAGCTATAATGAAGCCATGTTTTTACGCATGCATACACTGCAATTATTACAAAAAAATTGTTGTAGAATGAGAAATTTTAATGCATTCTAAAGCCTAATTGTTCACAATTATTCACTTTGCGGAGGCCCTGTAAGTTACTATAGCGATATGTAAAATGATTTCAAATCAGGCCTAAATTCTGGGGGCGGCGGGTTTTGAAATTACGGAGCACGTCAACCTCCCCACCAGTTTCCAACAAATAAAAGGCTAGAGGTATTCTGGGACCTGATCTTCACTAACAAGCGGGTACCCTGTTAGGTTCAGCCTAGCTTAATAGCGAGTGATGTGGGACTGGTGAGCAGGGAGCAAGGGAATATGGTGAGGGTAGTGTAACCGAAGACAGCAGTGGGCCAGTTATTTTTTGGTGAGGGAAGTTAATGTAATACTCTGGCTTCTCCCCACCACACAAAAATAATTTGAAACTCACTTTTTCAAAGTATCGATATATCTAAAGGGCAGCACGGTGGTTAGCTCTGCTGTCTCACAGCACTAGGAACTTGGGTTCGATTCCCACCCTCGGGCAACTGTCTGTGTGCCTTTCCTCTAGGTGTTCCGGTATCCTCCCACAGTCCAGAGATGTGTGAGTTAGGTGGATCGGCCACGCTAAATTGCCCCATATTACGGGCTGTGTGGGTTAGCCATGGGAATGCAAGGTTAGAGGGATGGGTCTGGGTGGGATGCTCTTTGGACGGTCGGTGTGGACTTGTTGGGCCAAATGGCCTGTTTCCACACTGTGGGGATTCTATGATAATAAAATGTTTTCAAGCACAAATGGAGGTAATTTGACCCATCTTTTCCTTGCTAGCACTCTGCAGTAACAATCTAATTAATCCCACTCCTGATAGCCTTGTACGTTTTATGATTGATTTTCAGGTGCTACCAATTTCCTTCTGAAAGTTGCAGTTGAATCTATCTCCACTATCCTCTAAGGCAACACATTTCAAATCCTAACCACATTTATGGTTCAAATCATCATTGGTTCTTTTATCATTCACCTCAACCCAGTATCCTCTGGTCCTTGGCCCTTCTGTCAACTGAAATAGGTTATCCCTATTTACTCTGCCTAGACCCCTCATGATTTTGAACACTTTTATCAAAGCTTCTCTGTCTACATTACCAAAGTCCCTTATTCCTGGAAAAATTCTCAGAAATCTTTTCTGCACATTCACTAAAGCCTTCACATCCTTCCTAAAGATTGCTACCCAAATTTGGTACAATACTTTGGTTGTGGTTAAACCAGTGTGTGGAGGTTTAAGTCATTGATATAGTTTGAGTAAGTTGATCAATCCCCAAAGACCTCCACTGTATTCCTCCAGTCTGAAAAGATAAATGTTCACCATTTACTTCTGTTTCCTGCCACTCAACAAATTCATGCTGACATTGTCTCTTTTATTCCTTGAGTTTCAACTTTGCTGACCAATCTGGCACTTAACCAAATGCTTTTAGAAAGGCCACATACACCCCATCAACCACAAAAGGTTCACCTATCCTCTCTGTTACCTGAATTCATACGAGCTTTCCTTAATTAATCCACACTTGTTCACAATACTGTAATGTTGTCCCTGATTATTATTCTTAAATGTTTACCCACAGTAGATATTAAACTAAATAGCCTGTGGTTGCTGGGTTCATCCTTACACTTTTTTTGAACAAAGCGTCACACTTGCAATTCTCCATTTCTCTAACATCATCCAGGTATCTACAGATGATTGGAAAATTATGACCAATACTTCCCACAATTTCCACTCATAATTTCCTTTGTATTATTGGATATTTTTTATCTGGTCCAGGTGAATTATTAACCTTAAATATAGCCAGCCTTTATAATACCTCATCTAGACTGTTTTTTTTTTAGCCATTTTAGAATATTGTTGCATCTATCTCCTTTTTGACTGGATTCTTCAGCTGTGTCATGAGAGAAAGTGATCATACTGTTTCAGGAATACTCTGATCAGCCCAGTCTTAAAATGGCAATTGGACTCCTATGTATATAAACATCAAAAGATGCACATCATAAGGAATGAGTATTGCTTCTGTGTAAATGCCATCAGACTGGTTTTTGGTGTTCACAGGGCTGTAAGTCTACTGATGACACTTTAAACTTATTAATCTCCTATTGACATTGACCATGGTAAATTAAAATTGAACCCTTAAACTTTACTTCACAGCTGAACAGCCATGTGGTAAAGGTGGTAGTTGAGATGCTGAATGGGCTAAAAATTGATAAAGAAGAGGCATTATGGCCAAACCTAAGTAGGCAAAAGTTTATTTTAAATTATTATTGGAAGCAATGAAACTAGTAAAGACAATGTAGAACTTCAGAAGATCCAAGTTGGTGGAGTGGGTGAACAGGCAGCAGATGAAGTACAATGTAGAGAACTGTGAGATGATATATTTTGCTAGAAAAAGAAATTAAATTTAAAATAAAAGGTGCTTCTCTAAAGGATGCACAAGATCAGAGATATCCAAGAGTGTAAGTGCATCAGGTATTAAACATGGCAGAACAGACTCAGTGGTTAGCACTGCTGCCTCACAGTGCCAGGGACCCAGGTTCAATTCCAGCCTCAGGTGACTGTGTATGGAGTTTGCACATTCTCCCCGTGTCCATTTGGGTTTCCTCCAGGTGCTACGGTTTCCTCCCATAGTCCAAAGATGTGCAGGTTAGGTGGATTGACCATGCTAAATTGCCCATAGTGTCCAGGGATGTGTAGGTTAAGTGGATTAGCCGTGGGAAATACAGGGTGACAGGGAAAGGTTGGGGGGGTGTGGGATGGTGGTGAGTCTGGGTGGGATGCTCTTCCGAGGGACAGTGTGGACTTGTTTGGCCGAATGGCCTCTTTCCACATTGTAGGGATTGTATAATGTATGATGAAAGTGGTCAATAAAGCATACGATATCCATAGCATTATTCATGAGGTCTTAGAGAATGAGAGCGGGAAGATTATGCTGAACTTGTACAGGAAACTAGTTAGACCTCAGCTGGAGTATCATTCATTACTTTGTGTGCCAGACTTTAGAAAGAATGCGAATACATTGGAGAAGGTGCAGAAGAGATTATCAAAAATGGTTTTAGAATGAGAAACTTCTGTTATGAGGATAGATTGGAGGTGTTGGGTGTGCTTTCTTTGAGGACAAGTCTCAGAGGAGATTTAACTGAAGTTTTTCAAAGTCATAAGAGGTCTGGACAGAGTAGATAAGAAGAAAATGTTGCTAATTGCAAAAGGACAAAGAGTGACACAGCACAGATTAAAAGTGATTTGCAAAAGAAGTAAACGTATTGTGAGAAAAATACGTTTTAATACAATGAGTCGTTCAGTCTGGATTTCACTGCCTGGATTTCATGTGGAGGCAGGTTCAACTGAGGCATTGAAGAGAGAATTGGATAATTATTTAAATAGAAATAATGTGCATGGTTATGGGGAAAAGGCAAGAGAAAGGCCTGAAGCCGGATGCTCATTTGCAGATCTGGTGTAGACACAATGGATCAAATGGCCTCTTTCTGCAACATAACAATCTGTGATTCTGTGATGGCCAAAATAATGTTGGAGGGTGTTGCATAAGTTCACAGCAATGCTTTTATATTATTTAAATATTTAATCACAATTTTCTTTTTGAAAACAAACCAACTTTTAATGAAGCAAATGGAAAGTCAGGCAGGGTGCATAATGGTCAGTCAATTCAACCTTGCTCATTTTACACCACTGAAATTGTTGAAGGTTCTGCCATTCTTTTTTATATCAGTTGACCCACTGTGTTCTCAGTCACAATTGGCAACATGGTAGCAATTGCTAATTGTATTGTGGTTGACGTTATCCCTTAGTTTATCATTGCCCATACTTGCATCTGTATGAATTCATGACTCGCATATTTTAACCAAGGGGCTAATCAGTAACATACAAATCTCTGCTGAAACTTTAAAGTAACATTTCCATTAAGTTGCAATGATAAAGTGATATATACATACAAATCTGATATATAACTTATTATTTTAAATTATTCTGTACTTTCTACATATGTAAATGTTTTATATGTATGTATTGATAGATACAGTATGAAAGTATACCTTTATGAAGCACTTCAAAAATGTATTAATAATATTATTTTTAATTATTTTAAAATTATTTGAATGCTCTCTTCGTATTCACTTAATCTGTATGTCTGCATAGCCTATACAATTTATCTGCTTTATTGTTGGTTTATTTCAGACTATGATTTGAATTAATAAGTTTTCAATTTTCCAAAAGTACTTCTAAGTTCTTTTTTATGTTATATTTTCTTTAAATTGTATTTCAGTATTATGTAAAGCATTTCTGAGTTTGGAAGCTTCCATCATTGAACTGCAAATTCAGTTTGGATCTTCTGATTATTCTTGGTCTTCTAACAGCATTGAAGTTGGCAGTACACAGCTATCATTATGAATAGAGGGCAGTTCATTGTTCACGGAAATTTTCTGTCTTAACTCTCCACCTTCCCACTTCAATATTTTTTGAATACCTTCTCTTCCTCTGTTAGTGTCTACAAGTTTTACCTTGTACCTCACTTTAATGTTTGTTATTTGCAGCAAGACCTGAATAATATCCAGGCTTGGATTTATGAGTGGCAAGTAATATTCATGCCACATAATTGCCGGACAATGACCATTTCCAACTGGAGAGAATCTAACCATCGCTCCTTGACATCCAATGGCATTACCATTGCTGAATTTCCCACTATCAACATCCTGTGGGTTACCTTTGGCCACAAAACTAAAGTGGGCTAGCCATGTAAATATTTGACAAAATCAGGTCAGAGACTGGGAATTCTGCAGTGAATAACTTACCTCTTGAACTCCAACATTTAGGGGGCACAAACCAGGAATGTGATGGAATACTCCCCACTTGCCTGGATGAATGCAGCTGCAACAATGTTAAAGAGACATCCATCCTGGGTAAAG